TTTAGCATAACCTTAGGCATTTTTTAAAAAATTAAGCAAACGGTCAGGCCAAATCGACCGTAAGAAATATAAATAGAAAATAATGGCACTCACAGCAATCAGCCATGAAATATAAATTTTTCATTTTTATATATTTGTTTTTTTATCATTTTTTTTTTTGGTATAAACTGATTGGAAACGAATGGTACTGTCGCAAGTACATTATTAAATGCCTTAAAGTAATCTTACAAAAAAAAATACTCCAATCTGTAGGGGATGATCTACAATTTCATGGGGGATGGTGGGGGGAACGCATTCACACATAATATCACATACATTTCACAAAAAACATTCATTCCACGAGACTTTGTAATTTCTCGACCACTGAACAATTGCAACCCTGAGTGTTTAAGTAACAATCACCAAAATGGCGGGTAATCAGACAAACAGTACACTGGGTTTTGAAAATACTTTCCGTTTTCTTCATTTTAACGCAATATTAGAAATTTATCCATATACAATCGAAGTTTTTAGTCTATTTGCCCATCGTTTAATGCTCGGAAGATATGTCTGCAGTCACTAATTCGTTGATACACTTTTTAAAACACAACAAGCTGTTTCTTCATAACTAATTTCATCTAGATCCACTACGATTAAAGTTTCTTTTTGTTGCACTTCAAACTAAAATATGGATAAATTCATAATAATAACGTTAATATAAAGTTATATATATATAAAAAAAATAATGTAATTTTACCGCCAATTTGGTATTTGCTTTACAGCGCGCCCTGGTTTGGATACACTCCAATCGTTTTTTTAAGATAATTTCTACCCTTGAGCATTACAAAGTATTATTAAAAAAATATCCAAACTTATATAGGACTCTTAGAATACAAATGGACTGTCAGTACGTAATAGGGCCCACGTTTGGCGGGGCCCCTTTATTCAAAAAAATTCAAAATGTTCCGTATCTCACTGAAATTAAAGCAGGTACGGCGGTCTACAGTCTATCGTGCGTCTAAAATCGCACGTCAGATGCTTATTTATTATCACAAATGTGTAGACTTGATTTGATATCAATCTACTTCAACGCATACAAAAGTATTAAAAAATCAAGCAAGATATATATCTAGGCCACAAGCCGAACCATCAATTACTATCGAGGCACTATTTTCGACATTTCGGATATTATGGCCCCGACCGATCCCTTGTTTCTTTTTTTTTTATTTCCAATACTTGATCAAAAACCAATTGAATTTTGGTTGGACATTTTAAATACCCCATTCAATTTGAATAATTTCTGCAACACTGCTTATTAACTATAAAAAGCTGTTGTCATCTAATATCGATATTAAAAATTTTTTATATCAAGAGAAAATGTCTTAATTATTTTAATTAAATATAATTTTTTTAATATTAATAAACACCCAAAGCTAAATTTTAATTATTGCTGTGAATATATTACTTATTAATTTTTTTAAATCTGGAGATTTGAAAGTTCAAATGCTGTACAAAATTTAATTCGATAATTTGTGCGAATAGTAATCAATCTGTAATTATTATAAATTGAAATACATTACTTTTTTATTTTTTTATGTTTCATCAGCCGGACAATGGATTTTTATTCGTCTATTCACACCAATCCAAATTAATATTGATCAGTCCATTTTTAATGGACTCATCTAATGATTTGATACTTTTCTGAAGAGTATTATAGGTTTACTTTCGAGAAAACCAAAATTTTTAATATTAATTCAGATTTAAAAAATTTAAATAATTTTTAAAAATGTCATTTGATAAATCAAAAACGAAATATATAACTTGATATTTTTAGTAAAAATTAAGCTCTATAAAAGGATGGAGCCTTTTGATCTTGAAATCTGGATAAAAATGTGAGGGTTTGTAATATTTAAAAAAAAACACCCTAACTCAAACAAAATCAACTTAAAATAATCAGGAAATATCAAGAGGTTAGTTAAGGGAGGCTGAAAAATAAAAAAATATCTTAAATCAGAAACAAAAAACCTATCAAGTTGAAATAATATTCAGGAAAGAGGATGAATCATATTATTGATTCTAAAAAATAATAAAAATGGGAGGGTTTAAGAGGGGTTGAAAAATGAAAAAATTCTAAATCAGAAACAAAAAAACGATATCGACTTGAAACTCTATAAGTAGTCGAAGCCTATTAATTTTAAAAAATGATTAAATATAGGGGATTCAGGGGCGTTGAAATAAAAAAAAATTAGAAATCAATAACTAAAAGCGATATCAACATGAAATTTTTAGTTAAATTCAAGCTCTATAAGTAGATGAAGCCTTCGTGAAATAATCTAGAAAATGTAGACATAAAATGAAAAAAAAAAAATACATAATTGGAATAAATTTAAACTCTGAAACACATTTTTCTTCCAGAAAACGTTCAAAAATGATCTTTTTACATTTCAAAATTTCGATCGTGAATTATATCATTTTGATTGATTTCTTGTTGTAGAAACTGCTAAATAATAATATTAGACCGTCCACAGAACAAAAAAACCATACAAATTTGATCTCAAACTGTTAATAAATAGTTCATTAGTTTTCGATCTTAAAAGTTTTAAAACTTTTATCGACATCTTATTTAGCATATCAATGTGGTCATCATTATTTCATTCTATAAAACAATTTAAAATATTTTTTCACAAAAACAAATATAAATTAATGACTTCCGGTATATATTAAACCTATGAAGATAAGGTTACATAAGTATTAGGAGCTCCAATAGAATTATAATTCTTCAGGACATTTAAATAGTTTTAACCCAACTAAAATATTCTTTTGCCTTTTAATGTTCTCCATGGTTTTTCCAAATATGCAAATAATATAATACACCAGCGACTTACAGTAAATATTAAACTTGTGAAGTTTAAATTATTTAAGCATCAGGAATTCGAACAGTTTTATAACTTTTCAGTTAATTTATAATATTTAAATTCCGCTAAAATGTTCTTTTGTTTTCCGATGTTCTCCATGGTTTTTCCAAATATACAATTAATGTAATACATTAGTGATTTCCAATAAATATTAAATATATGAAGTTTAAATTACATAAATATTACGATTTCGAACAGCATAACTTTTTAGGTGATTTAAAATCCACTAAAAAGTTCCTTTGTTTCACGTTCTCCATAATTTTTCCAAAATTGTGAATAATATACCAGTGACTCTCAGTAAATATTAAACTTATAAAGTTTAGATTACATAAGTATCAAATCTTCGAACATCATTATAACATTTAGAGCGATTTAAATTTCACAAAAATGTTTTTCAATGTTCATGATTTTTCCAAAAACTACCACTAAAATAATAAACTAGTAACCGCCACTAAATATTAAACTTATGAAGTAATAAATTACATAAGTATTAGGACCTCGAACAGTATTATAACTTTTCATGTGATTTAAATAGTATAAAGTTCACGCGAAAGTTATTTTCTTCTCCATATTCTTCAAGGGCTTTCCAAAAATTACAAATAATATAAACTAGTCACTTCCAGTAAATATTGAACTTATGAAATTTAAATTACATAAATATTAGAACCTCAAACAGTATTATAACTTTTCAGGTGATTTACATGGTTTAAAAAAACCACAAAAAAATTATTTTCCAATGTTCTCCATGGCTTTTCCAAAAATTGCGAACAATATAATAAATTAGTGACTGCCAGTAAATATTAAATTTATGAAGTATAAATTACATAAGTATTAGGACCTCTCGAACAGTATCATTACTTTTCAGGTGATTTAAATAATCCAAAATCCACGAAAATGTAATTTTATTTTTCAATGTTCTCCATGATGTTTCCAAAAATTGCAATTAATGTAAAAAAAACTGATTATTCCCAGTAAATATTAAAATTACATAATTATCAAAACTTATAACATTTTAGGTGATTTAATAGGTTAAAGTCTAAGAAAATGTTATTTTTAACAGACTTCAAAAAAAGGAAGTTTTCAATTAGTTGGAATATTTTTTTTATGTATGTTCAGCGATACTTCTTTACCACTTTGTCCGATTTCTCATTCGATTCTTTTTTTGTTAGAAAGGGGTGGTCCCATATATCAGCAAACTCAATTTGTGATGGCAACTGCACGATTTTGGGGCCGATTTAATTAAAGTACGTTTATAACTTTTTTGTTTTCTAATGTTCTCTATAGTTTTACCAAATATGCAATTAATATAAACTAGTGACAACCAGTAAATATTAGATCTATAAAGTTTAGATTACATTAGTAATATTAAGACCTCGAAACGTATTATAACTCTTCAGGTAATTTAAATAGGTAAAAATGTCTCTTTTGATACGTTTTCCATCGTTTTTCCAAAAAAGCAATAAACATGAAACTATCACTTATGTCCTCTGTTTAGCAAAAGAACAATCAAAGAAATCAAACAACGTAGAAAAAATTATCGCTGAACATCCATAAAAAAATATTTCGACAAATTGAAAACTTATGCCTGTATTGAAGCAAAAATGCGCCCATTTGTATTATTAACAGACTTTTATGGTGTGAATAGTCCGCGAAAGAAAAATCCCCGACTGTTCAACTAACGCATCTCCAAATCGATTATGAAACTAATTTTAACGTTATTTTCGATAATCTAAATCGAATTAAAGCCATTTTGGTTAACCGTCGCGTTGTCTAATAATGCCTCAATACCGTCCATGATGAATTCAACTTTATAATAGAAAATACAAAATAAATCAACAGTAACTTTGTTGTGCTTTGATAAAAAATAAACAGAACACAACACGAATCAACTGAATAAACTTCTCTCTTCTCTCAGTAAAATGCTGAAAAAAATCTAAAAAACTTAGTTTTAAAACATTTACGAGATGGGCAACATCCAAAAACAGAAAGTAGGAAAGCTCAATAATAATGAATCTCATCAGATGATAGAACGATGAGATTATTAAGTTAATTGGTTCGTTGAACGTTCCTAATTTAGTTTGACTCATTTTTGGATTGAGATAACATTTAACCGCTTGGACTGGGAATGGCTGGCGCTGGAGACGGCAGTATGATCTGACAAGAGCCCGTCTTAATCCTCCTGCGCATTAAATTGCTTTCGCTAGGCGGGCTCAGCCCGAACATGTTGGCCGAATCGCAACTCTTCATGGGTTGTTTATTTCCATACCGACAATCACTCGGCCTTTCCAAATAGTCCAATTTCATGCTGAAATGTTGTTGCACCACTCTATTCACAGCCATGGCGGATTCCGCGAACTGGGACAGTTCCAGAGCGGAGTTGTTTTTCTTAATAACGGCTGGCGTCGTCAAAGCAGCCGTTTCACTAGCAAACTGCAACCAAGCGTGTTTCAGCACTTTTTCAGCGCTGATGCGATCGCTGGCGTTCTTGACCAACAAACAGGAGATGAGGTCCTTCGCTTGGTCCGATATGGCGGTCCATTCCGGTTCGGGAAAGTCGTACCTGCCTTCTTGGATGGATTGGAAGAGCAGCTCCAGACACGAATTGCAATTGTCGCCGCGCTCCCAACCGCAATCTTTACCGCACTTACCGTAGAACGGCGGATAGCCGCACAAAAGGATGTACATGATCACTCCTAAGGACCATAAATCGCATCTCTTATCGTACGACGTCGATTCCGAGTCGCCGATGAACGCTTCCACTACTTCCGGTGCCATAAATTCGGCACTGCCGACCTGGAATATAATAATTAAATAAATTTACTAACTTGTCGCAACAATCTTATAATACAGCTATGTTATAATATAGAAATAGTTTTAGGTTAAGGTCGCAATGAAGAAATCCGTTCGCAATTTTACTCTTGTAAATACCGGAAAAACATCTAGTGTGAAAAAACTTTGTTTTGGAAAATCATGTAGTGCAATTGCAAGTATAAAATCAAACTCAAAAGGTTCTCATGGTATCACACTAAATATGATATTGTACCATACCATATAATTACTGCAATAATAAAGGATATTTCCCAATTAACTGGAAAAATGCTTGTGTTACTTCTCTTTCTAAGGTAAATAATCCTAAACATTTTGTAACGTTTAAAATATATAGTATAAATACTTTATTTTAATGTGAAGAATATTTGCCACAGTTTTATGTTTAAATAGTTTGTTTTATTATCACCTTAATTTAAATTATCTATTATTTTGTTCTTTTTATATCAACTTAAATAACATTTAATTACGTCACAAATTGGCGCCCAACGTGGGCCATAATTAAAATCATTAATTTGTTTACGATTCTGTAAAAATATATCAACATATACGTCAAAATATATAGAACATCTTTCTAAACACGCCAGTTAAATGTATTATACTTAATTTCTACAAAATGGACGGTTTAAGTTACGTAATGAGCAAACTCGACGAGATTTCGTTGGCTAAGTATCATACCTAAGTAACTTTTCGTATTATAACTGTTACTCCTTTTTTATCTCATTTTAAAATACTATTTTTTTAACATAACTGTATTATTTTATACATAAAAAAAAAGAAAAACTGTACTTACAGGTGTTAATAACTGCGGTGTCGCTAACGGACTGGAAACACTGGATTGGAAGCGAATACCGGAACCCAAATCGAAATCGCAAATTTTGACGGGACACAGGCGATCTTTGTGTACGCAAAGTATATTCTCGGGTTTAAGGTCCCTGTGCGCTATCCCCTTTCCGTGCATGAACTGCAACGCTGAGGCCACTTCCCTGATGATTTCCGCTGCAGCGGCCTCGCTAAAATACTTATACTCTTGGATCCTCCTTAAGAGCTGACCCCCATTAATCTGAAAAATTCATAACAATTAATTATCACAATGTTAATATTAAACAGTCAGAACTATTCTTTAACAAAACGCATAGGAGCTTTAATTTGTGCAACTAAGAAATAATTTAGACAGTCTAAAAGGTTTAAAGTATTATAAAGTGATAAATGATAAGGCGTTGCTAGTAAGTTAGTTACCTTTTCAAAAACCAAATAAAACTTTTCTTCGTCTTCAAAAAATTCTGTCAATTGGATGATGTTCGGATGTCCTTGACAGTGATGGAACGTTTCTACCTCTCTGAATACTCTTGCTCTGGCATGACCTGGAACCTTGTCGATGATTTTGACGGCGAACTCTTGATCGGTGAACAAACTGATGCAAGTCTGGACGCTAGCGTAGGCGCCTTCTCCCAAAACCTCTCCGGTCAATTTATACAGGTCTGTAATACACAACAAAAAAAAAATATATATATATATATATATATATATAGAAGAATTTTAAAAGAATATGAGGAGATTCGTATTTAAGAAAAAAACCTAAATTTTACACTACTGTCCAAATATTAATTCTTTATTGATATCTGATATTTAAAGACGGAACTATCATGCAAGACTGTAAGAATAAGAAGGACAATGCTAATGCATAAATTTCATCCCTATAAAATGCAGATACTTCAAGAGCTCTACGAAGATTATTTTGATAGAAGAATAGATTTATGTGAAACTATGTCTGATCACGTCAAGGCCAATCCTAATATTCTGCTGAAAAAGTTCATGTTTGGTGTGGTATTCTCGGAAATGCAATTATTGGTGTTTTATTCATTGAAGGAAACTTGACAGGCGATCTGTACTTTAATATACATTTATTGAGCCTCTTATATCTCACGAGCGAAAAACTCAAACTGATGCAGAAGGTAATTTAGTTTTACAGGAGGATCTGTTACATTTCCAACAGGACACGGTGTTACACCTCATTTTTTTCTTCCCGCCCGATAGTGGTTGAACGAGAGATTCCTAGAGAGATTGGCAGAAGGGGAGCAATTGAATGATCTCCAAGATCGCCTGTTTTAACTCCCTTAGAAATTTTTTTTTGGGGACACTTTAAATTCGTTGTTTAGGAAACACAACCTGCTGATATATTGATGATCTTAAAAGGCGAATTATACTAGCATGCCGGTCAATTTCCGGTGAAGTTTTTCGAAATGTTAGAGAGGAGTTGGGAAACAAACTTTATTACTGCTTACAGTATAATGGACAACATTTTGAAGTTTTTAAATTAGTGTAAAACATGTTTTATTTTTAAGATTTCTAGTGCAAATTAAAAGTTACTTTTGTAAAAATCACGTAACCGAAAAAATTAAAAATCAAACGTGTAGACTTGATATTCCTCCTGTTATACAACTCGATGGAATAATTTTTGTTTAAATACTAAACTGAAAACCAAGAATCTCAGTGCAAGACGTTACAACTTTTGTAACTTTGGAACACAATTTTTCGGAATCTGCTGGTCAGAAGATCATAATTTAGGGTACCATTGGAAAGAGAATTAAACGCCCGTTAAAATGATGTGCCACTTGATCCCCTTTCCCAGTTCTCCTAGGAAATTGAGCCACGAGTGTTAGTATTTATAAAATTTATTTGAAAATAAAACAGTTTTCAGTGTGTCACCTTGTATGTGTTTTATTTTTTGTAATCATAATTGTTATCATATTTTAAAAAGCACAAAAAAAATTGTTCTAATAAAGCTTATGATTGACAAGAATCAAAAAAATTTCTAAATCTAATTTATAAAAAATGAAAAAACATAATTGTTCTATTTGATCCTATTATTTGTGGCCCCCAATACGATATGCATAATTATTAGCAAATATCTTATTTAAGGTTGGAAATAATAACACAATCATATCCAAAAACAAATAATAAAAAAAATCGTTGCATAATGATTACCGATTTTATTTAATCATATCAATATTTACTAATTAATATACTATTTAAAACGAAAATTCTAAAAACATCTATACACTGTCAGCAGTTTCTCAATATTATTATTTTTCCAATTCCTGAAAGTTCAACAAACAATGCGTTAATACGGTTTTTGTTATGATTACTTGGCAATTGAATCGAATGCACTCGCCTTTTTATCAATCTAATTACTAGCATACTATTTTTATGCACTTAAATATTTACAAAACTTTGTTTGGTTGAATATTCAATAATACATTTTTTAATTAGATCGTGATCGTTCTATATTGATTATCGGATAATACAATGTTAGATATTAACATTTATTTTTAAATGAATATTTAATTAGTACTCAGTTAGGTGTTCCTCAAGGTTTACATTCAGCGCCTGTATTATTTAACGTTTTTATCAATGATGATGAAATTGTTAATGTATACATTTTTAAGTTGTACTGTTGGTGTGATGCCAATTCTGAATATTTTAAATTTAATTCTAGCAGGTCAACATTTTTTAAAAAATTATCAAAGATACATGAAAAAATGTATCAAAAGTTGTAAGAGTGCAATGAAAGCTGTTCCAAAAATAAGTACCTGTTAGCCCTTAAAGTACATGCCAATGGAAGTGGCCATGATTTACAAATATTCCCGGATCCCGCAGTATAGTTAAAAGAGTCAACCACTGTGGTTGAGGTTTGTGCGACTTATAAATTGCCGAATATAAAAAAAATATATTTCCTAATAGTACCAATACCAGTACATAGGGCGTCCGATAAATGTATGACTTATCAAAGTTGTCTGTTTTTAAAATGAAACACTATATTTTTTCATTTGAATAAATTCCTTTGGAAGGGTATTTTTTTAAATATATTTGTGCTTTTGAGAATGGATTTAAAACAAAAACAATGTTTAGGGTGTGATTTTAATATCAGTATTATCTTAGTTTTGACTACAGTAGCTCAGTGAATGCATTGAAAATAATAGTATTAGAATTATTGAGGCTAAAAAAAGCGTGTCAATAAAAATAAAATTCATGTCATTCGACTGATTTATTTTTAACATGCCAATGACTTGCACGATTATAAATTGTGGCAGCAAATGTAAAAGAGAATATTTTTTGTCGGACTAACAGCAAAAAAAATTGTATATGCAACTTAAACGATTATTAGCTGAAAAAAGGCAACGACAGTTGCTGGTACTTGAAACTAGACATTTTGATCCGATAGCAAAATCAAATATGAATGTGTATACTGCCAAGATATTTTAACAAGGGAAGTAAAATAATTTTGTTGCCATATTCGTTTATTAATAATTATGTTTGCATCTGTACTATGTAATAATGAAAAAACTGCGCATATATGATTTATTTATGTAGAACGAATGAACAATTAAATCGAAATTCACGATTTTTAAAGGATATAACATCAATTTATATGCTAATTAATGACAATATTTGTTAACAACAAAAAAAAAAAAAAAAACAGTAGTTGTGTAGAATAAAAATAAGTTCAATATACAGGGTGTTTCATAATATATGCGCAGGCCTTCAGGACGTGATAGCTCGTCCAAAAATATGTAAAAACGTTTCTATTAACCATTTTCGAGATACAGAATGTTGAAATTGAAAAAAAATTTCTACGCCACTGAAAAAAGTACGGTTTTGAGACGCCCATTTGAACCGCCAATATTTTCTACACAAAAAAGGTACTCTAGGTCATACGCTCTAAAGTCGACCGTTTTCGAGAAAAATCAAATTTTAATGTTGAAATACATGGTCATACATACTTGATGAAACAAAATTTGATTTTTCTCGAAAACGGTCGACTTTAGAGCGTATGACCAAGAGTACCTTTTTTGTGTAGAAAACATTGGCGGTTCAAATGGGCGTCTCAAAACCGTACTTTTCCAGTGGGGTAGAAATTTTTTCAATTTCAACACCCTGTATCTTGGAAATGGTGCATTTTAGAGGGTAAGTTAATATAAACGTTTTTTCATATTTTTGGACGAGCTATCACGTCCTGAAGTCCTGCGCATATATTATGAAACACCCTGTATTTATCCTAAAAGAGATGGAATCATTTTTAAGACCATGTACAAAAATATTAATTGAATTAAAAGGTTATATCTTAAAAAAACTAATATTTATCCAATAATAGATTATTGTTAACGTCTTGTTATGATCTGCAATGTCTAATCCAATTTGCAAATTAATCACTTTTGCAAAATTTGCTGTCGAAGCAATTCCATCAAAATATTTATTACACCTAATCACCAGACTATTGAACAGTGTTAAACGTGATATTATATAACAATTTTGATAAGAATTTTAAAGTTGGAGCCTTGGAGACATTTATTTTAATTTCTATATAATATCTATACAGAAATACAGTTATATTAATTAAAACATTTCTAGAATGAATGTTAAAAAAGGTTAAATATAACTAGAGATTAATTATTATTAAAAATAATGTAATTAACTGCTTATTGCGCAATCATGCATTTATTAATGTTTGTCTTTTTATTCTCTTTAATCGAATTAGCATAATTATATTTATGATACAATAGGAAGAACTGGAATTATTTTTAAAAGGGTTTGTTTGCGATAATTATTACCTTTATATTGAATTTAATTATTAAACAAACAAGTCAGGTATTGCAACTTAGAAAGGAGAATCAACACATTTTTCAATATTTCATCATTATAATAAACATACCTAAATAATTCTTAATTTCCATACAGTTTAACTAATATTTTATAAACGTCCTTATTGATACGGTAAATAAGGTTCATATATATCTAATTTGGAGATAGTTTACCATCTGTAAACTTAATTTACTTATCTCATGCCTTAAGATATCAGAGATCAATGAAGAATTAAATTACAGGCACAAGATTTATATTATTACAATGGAAAACCTTTGCTTCTTATAGCAACAATACAGTGTAACTGCGACCTTAATCCAAAACATAAAGACTTCAGTAATTGTACATACCTTGGAAACAAGACGATACCACAGATGACCCGGTACGTTTCTTCTTGCGGCGCCTCCTCTTGGCTTCCTCCTTGCGGCGGGTGAGCTCCCTTTCGCGGGTATCAGCGTCCATCTGATCCCCGCTGTCGGAGGCGCTGCCCCCGCCGCCGTTGCTTCCACCGATGCTGTCACCATTGGTGATCACGATGCCGTTGCAATCTGAAACAAAACAATTCGATATTTTATTTGGTTATTTACGGGATCTTATCAACTTTTTTATTATGGTATGACTGGTGTTGTATCAATATTGCTAATTACCTTAAAATTAATTAGTCAACAAAAAGTTTATGTTAATAGGAAACATGACGAATTTAACAATAAAAAATCAGATGTGTCCAACACATGACTTTCCTGTTTTAATATTACATGCTTTTTCCAGTTATTTTGTACAATTATTGTATCACCCCTGTATATATTCGCTGTCAACAAAAATACTGAAAGATTAAAATTTTATACTTTTTCTCAAATCTTTCCATTACGGTCCATTTTGGAGAAATCATATGTAGAATAAAAATAGAGAATGAACTTTTATTTGAACAATTTTCATAAAAATTTGAATTTTGCACTTTTTGTAAAATTTCTCGAATACGGATCATTTTAGGAAAATTATGTATAAGTCAAAAATTATAGAGAATAATATTATAAGCAATTTTTATTTGAAGAATTTTCTTCTCCAAGCTTAAATAACAGATATATTCCATAAAGTAGAAAAAAGACCTTCTATAAAGTACCCCCCAGATGTTCCAACTATGCCCAAAATTAAATCAATTCATCGCAAAATGGATTAAAGCTTAAAATTAAAACTTATTTTTCGTTTTAGAGTTACTAATTATAATGGGAAATTTTAACCTTTAAGTGGAAATAACTCGAAAACCAATCACTTTGAGTTCGAAACAAGAGTACACGATTTATTTGAAAAACATCAAAAAACGTAAAAATATAGTCCAAATAAGTTTTTGGTCAGTATCGTAAAATTAAGAAAGGATGAGTGTTTTACTTATCCATGCCGTACACCACTGTACAAGTTTATTTAACTATATTGTATAATACCAAAAATGTTTAGTGAATTTAGTAAAATTATATTGAGGAATAATAACATTATAGTCATTAATAATTTTTAAATGTTCAACTTTAACACGGAAACCAGTAATATTTAATCGTTTTATTTTTAATCAGAGAATCTTCAGTTGTTCTGTGTCCCAATATTAATGAAACACCCTGTATAAACTGATTAATTTTGATATTCCCAAAATTGATTTATTCAGTGTCCTAAAAAGTTTTATAAAAATTCGAAAAAGTTAATTTAACAAAACATTATTCTTGATAAAAACATTTGCATCATTTGGAAATCCTTAATCAAGAATCAAAAATTTCCAATACACTTTATTTATAGATTAAAGTAAATCGAAATTACTTAAAAACAAGTGCAACGATACTAGAGTATATTTTTTTATTCCCTATCAACATTTATAATTATTAATATTTAATTACATATTGAAATTTAGTACTTTTTGTTTTACTTGCATACCATTTAAAATTTATAAATTCGATATCTGATTATGGATGTGATTGTTTATTAAAATTGGGATAATTATTTTCTAAAATTAAATAAAACTTTTTAAAAAGAACGAGAAACTGTTTAATGTTCAACTAAGGCATATTCGACATAATAATGACAAACGACAAGTCTAGGAAAGTGTCAAATATCAGTGTGGTCGCTGGCAACTTAAATTCAAACAAATTAAGGTGCAGAGTAATGTGTAAGATTTTTTTTTCCTGGGCTCGTCTATGTCTCCGAATAACACTGAAGCCTATTGGCTTATTGTGTTTTAGCCTAGGTTAGTTCATAGCACCCACTCTGTCGCCTTTGTACCTTGTATAAGTTTGTACAGATCCTTGGGAGAGTGGGTTCTATAAGTTGTTGGATCAATCTGGGGTTGTCCAAAACATGTGTAAGATACACTTTTTTCCATTTATATGAAACTTTTTGGAACACCCTATAAATAGAGTACAAATTTTTGTTCTGTCATATATTTTGGCTATTTTTATTATTAATATATTTCCTAGAAGAATTTCACATACTTGTTTTTCCTTTAATCTTCCAAATTCTAATATTAGATGTATACATTACAATCGATTTGTAAAAAGATGTTTATTATTCAAGATACAGAGAATTCGTGTATTAGAATTTACAAACAGAAGTGTCGATTTTTTGATAAGAGGCGATTAAACTTTGGGTGTAACTACGCATTTTTTTTGTTAACACACGCCGGCATTTTATTTATTGACGACCTCATAATATATTCGAGCTGTTACCGGCCGGCTGAAAAACATTGAAATTTCGAACATCATCGCCACGAGTTTCGGATTATTTTTAGAAAACGTCTGTTAATATGCCGTATGTTGCTTGGCACGCTTTCAACAAATTAAATCATGTTAATATCTAGTATTTTTTCCGATAGCTGTAGGTACTTATTATTTAAAAGAATGGCCGCTATTTTATAAAATACTAACGTAAATAATATTTATGAGTAAATACGTATCTATTATTTAATATGATTAAACCGGAATTTCCAGTTTATATAAGAAAAAGTACGACGTACTATTTAATTAAATTTCTATGGCAGAATTTTCGACTTGTTGACGAACACGTGGTGATAAAAAATTGATGAATTACAACCGGTTTTTCTTAAAAAATTATTACATCGCTTCTTCGCAAATGCAAATTTTGACTTTTTGAGTTAATTATGGTATAATTACAAATATTATTTTCTTCACCTGTCAAATTGCCATTTTTACGATTTTGATCAATAAGAATTAGAATGCCGGGATCATTGAGCAATATTTCGATAAAATAGCCTTATCCATAATAAAAACTTGTTTACATAGAACTATCACTGCCCTCTGACATCAAATTCATCGCTTTATATAACTACCTTAATTTTCTTGACATTTAATTAATCAATAACTTTTTTTTGGGTTTGGTTCAGTTGTTAAGAAATTCAAACGCGGACAAATGCTCTAAAATTATGATTTGTTATTTAGTCAATGACGATAAATTGAGTGTAACTGCAGCAGTAAGTCGTGCTTCCAAAATGAGTGGGGTCAGTGAAAAAACAATTTATACCATCAAGAAAGAGGAGAAACAAAACAATGGCGAATTGAAAACTGTAAGAAAAAAATAGCGGATAAGATAGTTAAATTTTCGCGAATATAGATATGAAGGGTTTTAAGAGCTCATCGAGAGAAATTCTGCACTTTTTAACATTCCGCCAACTTTGAATGCAATTTATAATATTATTCCAGGGAATGAGAATTCACTATCCTTCTCTTAAAGAACCCTATATAGATTAATGCAAGGTATTATTTTTGAATATAGGAAGCTAGGTCGTAATAGTATATAATAGAAAGGAACATCATTAACTGACGGCACAGGTATGTAAGAGCCATCAAACAATATCGCCAACAAAATTGTAACGATATATATTTAGATGAGACTTGGTCAACGTGGGTCAAGCTGTTAACTACTATTCATGGTGTGATAACACCATAAATAGTTTAACCAACGCCTCAAACCACCTACATAATGAGGTCCACATTTCGTTAATATTAAAGATGACGTAATTTGTGTTCCATTGACAATATGCTAATATAAAAATAGAGGTTATAAGCGTTCATTAAATTTTTATTTATATTATTTTTGAAAGATTCATTGTATTATCAAACAAAACTATAAACGTATGTCTAATTTAATGTAATAATTTTTTTTTAAGTTAACCGTCGTAAAACACACTTATATAACGTATAACAAAAGACCAGTGTCATATTTGACAGACTCATTCTTTTGTTATTGTTACCATATCACATGTGGGATACAGATTTTGTTGAAAACTCTGTATACACACAACCAAACTTATATGGAATCACTGTGTATTTCTGAATAAACGTTTTGTAAGGAAAAAATTTGGTAACTAGATAGTATATAAACCTCAAACGCAATTAATTAATTAATCTAGCTTACACCATTAGTCCTACCCCTTTTCGTGTCTTCCGTTTTTTGTTTAACCACTCCCAAAACAATATTGGCTTGCCAAACATCTTTATCCAATTACGAGCGTTTTTTTTTTGTTTATTGCTAAATTCGTTTTTGTCGTAAATATGCGTCACGGAATGTTTTGGTTCCTATTTTATCACGTCACCGGTTCACCAATCTTTAAATCAAACTAAAAAACAATATGGGAAGGATTCTGTTAATTAATTTCATTAACATTGACGTGACCTTTATATTTAATCTGGTTATTTTATTTTATTATTCGATTATAAATAATTGTTATGTTATTATATTATTAAAATAGTAAAGTACGACATTGTTATGGTTTAGTTTTCTTTTTGTTTAAATTAACAATAACATAATTATTATAAAGAAAAAGATTCTACAGACATTATCAATATTTAGAAATTAAATGTACATGGCTTCAGACTTGCCCTATATAATTCTTATCTGAGAAAACAGGGTTGTTTCGATTTTTACAGTAAAATATTTTCGTTTGCTTAACAATATGGTGAATGGTTAAAAATAAAAAAAAAGACATTTGTCTTTATGTCAAAAACACTTAGAATTAAGTATAATATATAGGGTGTCGTATTTAAAATAAGCGAATTAAGGTCTATTTTCGGTATAATCGGAAGTGCTCACAGACGAAAATAGTTTAGCTAAATAGGCCGCAAGACATTTGGCTAGTTCCTAAATTTTCAATTTTTTTTTGCATTTTTACTTACATCATATATATAATTTTTGTTGGGACATACTGAAGATATAATACGTCAACAACACCTAAATTAACTTTGTTGTAACGACGTACAATCCATTATATAGTGAGTTCCAAACATTTTAATACACATGAGTTTTATTAAAAAAAAAAAAAAAAATGGAGACATTTAAGTCTTTATGTCAAAAACGCTTAGACTTAGGTATAAGACATGATACATAAAATTTATCTAGAATCTTTAGTAGAATCCAAAAAAGTAATAATATATAGGGTGTCCCATTTAAAATAAGCGAATTAAGGTGTATTTCCGATATAACCAGAAGTGTCCAATAGTCGAAAATATTTCAGTTAAATAGGTCGCAAGATATCGAGCTAGTTCTTAAATTTTCA